CCCTTTAATCCCATCTCCACTAGTTGATCGTTTCATGTGTCCTGATAAACCCCATCTCATTAGAAATGATCTCACTGCTCCCTAGGCCACATGACTAATACCACCATCATTATTATCATCATCCGTCATAATACTTGCTGTTGTGATGCATATTTAAATTAGAACAATCACAATCAACAGCCTCAAGTTAATGTTAGTGCGTATTCCCCATTAATCTAACATTGACAAATTGTAAGTTGAGTTCAAATGTATGTGGACCAAAACGACTGCCTCGTGTGTTTGTATGACAGCAAACAAGCCTGTTAGTAGCCTTCAACAGTAAACAGGGATTTGATTTTCATCTAATACACAGCGTTCTGCTTTCAAACGTGGTGCAGACATTGTTCTGTGAAGGTGGCGTCACAGAGGAGTCGTGCCAGACAAACAACACAGTTTTGACAAGGGAGTTACACTGAAGGCTCCTGGGACATATACTCCCTGTAGTTTCTACAATCCCAGTACAGTAGAGCACAGAAGGTGTGCTGATTTCCTGTAAACACCTGTGTGGAACTGCGTATCGTCTGTACTGCCTCTGTATCCTGACTTCATTTTTTTAAAGCAATGATTATTTTTATATATTTTGAGTTGGAATTTGAAAGTTTTTTTGGGATTTTGTTTTTTTCAAAGATGATACACTTCTGTGTCTGTCTGTGTCCCAGTGGTCAACAACTTAACAACAGCTTAACGATTGTCCTACAGGCCCAAGACATTAGATGGCCACTATGGAAACAGTGCAACTCTATTCTGGTTCTGTTACACAGAAATGAGCTCATACATGTACTAATGTGCATACACATGGCCAAACATGTCCGTCTCTCAATTTCACTTTTTATCCGAAACGAAACAGCGGCCCAGTGATAGGTCTGTGTTTTTTCACGTGGACCACAGAATGACTCAGGGATGCCCAAGGGCACCGCGCTGTGCTAATTCTGCAGCGTTCACTGAGTTCTTCTATTATTCAACAGCTGTACTGTATAATAATACCCGCATTTTGAGACCTTGGGACTACTTCTTCTCGCGTTTACTTGAACTGTTTAAAGCTGTTGAGGAGAACCGAACGGCAGGGTCACTCCAGCAGCTTAGTCTCCTCCAGTGGCTGCTTGTGGTGAGCTGTCGAACCCTGCCCTCTCATTGTAATCAGGAGTGGAATACTAGCAGTGATCGCACACTTCACATTCACACATGACAGCCTCTACCACAGGAGAGGGCAGGGATAAGTGGAGTCAGAGAGAGGCTGAGAAGGACAAGTGGAGTCAAGGAAAAGACGAGATGATCCACTCCACAGGGTCATGGCACTCTATTTATACTGATGTATTGACCTGGATTTCAAATAAAGAAAGACAACGATTTGTGTGTTCCCCAAAATAGATGATTGGGTGAAACTGGTCTTCATAGACCAGGACTGGCAGCTAGGTGAAGTGGTTACACCTGAGGAAGGACCTGTTGAGTACTGTCCATCATAAAGTTTCAAATCAAATCATTATGTAGAGTTTTATAAAACGGAATGTAACCAAATCATCACCCAGTCAAACTTTTTATCAATATTTAGAAACGTTAACAAACTCTACACACTTCCTGTTCCTCTTGGTACTTTTGATAAATCCTACTACCTGTCTGAGACTAATTATTGTTTGTTAATTATGGGTGTGTCAGAAATATTGAAATGTTTTAAATTTCGTCACAATAAGACCTCAGTAAGACATGCTGTATAAACAACCCTACCAGTAAACACACTGCTTCGTAAGGACAACAACTTCTATCTCATTTGTGTTTCTATGTTTTCCTGAGGGAGCATATTATGGCTGACAACAACATTTCTACGTTAAAGGTGGAGGCAATTTTAATCTGCTTTCACTGACAGACCTGCATAGTGGTGGGTGGAAACTCTACACTGTGTACCTCAGGTGAGGTGCTTTGTGCTCTACAAAGGCAGAAAATGTGCCAATTCATGGGCGTACTCTGATCAAGTAGACTTGTACTTGGAAAGGGCTGAATGTAGCTCATTGTTTTATAAGGACTCTACAAAGGCAGCGGGGAGAAGAGAGGTATGTTTCTAATCTGATCACTGACCTTCTCTCTTTCACAGAGACTGTCAATAGCTTTTTTCGGGCAAGGGTTTGCAAAAAAAAAGATGACCTTTAAATGTACGAAGAGAATACATTCAGGAAATATCAATACAGTAAAGGACAGTTACCTGGCCACTACACAAAGCAAGTGTTTTTTAAAACAACTCTCATGCAGCGACTCAATCAAATCCCAGCTGTTGTGCCCCTCTTCCATGCTGTTTTTCTGTACGGTGGACCGTACCACTGAGGATCAGGAATAAAAAAAACAAGAACAAACAATGGCCCTGACCTTGTCTAGGTGTATCCATGGAGATGAGAACTCACTGTAAAGCATTCCCTACTGTGTGCCGCTGACAGGCTGGCCCTGCTGCAGACATGCTTCACAACTCCGACATCTGAGGCTCAGGCTGTAAACACACACAACTGGAGCATGTACAGACTTTAGAATAGCAAAATCTACAAGGAGAAAACAACACTGGATCCCAACATGACTTGACTGTGTACTTGAGGGTTGTCCTTAGCATGTCCTGTGTAATATATGTTAAAGAAACCCTACCATATGTGTATCATGAGTGTTTACTCCTGTGAATAGAGTAATATTACTGCTGTATAATGTTATTTCCCCCCTGGGATCCTACTTAGAAGGTTCATGGCTGTGGCTCTATCAATTACTTTGTCTTCACTGGGATTAAAATCCAGATCAACCAGGTGGAAAATAAAACCACCACAACCACTGAGCTACAGCAGACCTCAGCTACTTCCCTTCATTAAGGCTCACACATCACACTGAGATTATAGCCTGCTTTAAAATGACACTCATTAGACACTGCAGCTGCTGGCTGTGTCGTGCATGACAAGATGTCCAAAACATATATAAACACACTTATTCTAAATATTCCAGGCAAAAACAATACCAGAAGCTATTATTTTTGAAATGTACATTAAATCATGCTTTTAATTGGAGAGTTAAAACAAAACAGCTGTGGTAGAGTGTTGAATTTCCAGAAGTATTTGTTTTCTGCTCATTGTAGGATTAGAGGATCAGCACACTGAGGAAGATGACGACAGAGATGTTTGAACAGGAATGAGAAAGGAGATGATACTAATCAAAGTAAAAAAAGCTAAGTGTTTAGTTTGTTTGCTTGAAAGGAAATAAATGTGCGCTATTTGAACATTTCATTCATAAGTCCACCTCGGTACAACTGTGACCTGTGTCTAAAGTCTAATTGGTAAACAGGCAACAGGTGGACCATGAAAGACATGAGCCACTGCAGCAGTAGTACGCTGAAGGGGGAAAACAGAAGGCAGGTGGCAAAGGGCTTAACCTAAGCTAAACTCCATCCAATGAGCTCACGTCCTCAGGCTTAGCCACGTTCAAGCTGTCAACTTTCTGCCAGGAAAGCCAGATCTAAGAAGTCAAACCCAGACAGCCAAGAGAGGCTGCAGCATCCCGCTAATCTGTCTGAGCGCTGACTGTGATGCACAAGAGTCCAAAAATAAAGTAAACAAGAACATGTCTGCTAAAGGGCAGATTGTCTCACATTTTTATCTGTCTGGAGTCGAGCGGCCCTAATGGCCAAAGGCAGGGGTGAGAGATGCAGGTAAACAGGTCCAGCTATCATGTGTGCTTTAATCCCACACCATTGTTGCTGCTAATGACCTGCCTCACTCCAGCCCTGCTTTTGTGTCAGGTTAGTTCAGGTAAAGCGCAGGTAAACAACAGATTCCCAGTGTCTCAGTAACAAGTGCGTATCGTAACCATTGCTAATCCTCCTGTGTTGACGTGCCTGAGTGAACTTGAGGTGACCCCACACCCAGTGTACCAGACGTTAGCTCAAGTTCTCCAGACATATATGCTGTCATCAATAAATATACAGTAGTAGTTATCTAATTATTTAGTGGTAATTAAGAAGGCTATATACAGTATAAGCAATATATGACTCCATAAGAAAGTTATTGGAATTGAAAAACAATTTGCTTGACAATTTAATACGCAGACTTGAACTTTTTTTTTATATCTATATTTTTCTGTGCTCTGTCATCTGTTCCACTGTGGGCTAGCTACAACATTCACCTGTGCTACTGGTTTTCATCTTGTCTGGTGGTGGCTCCACAGGCTGTTACAATGAGGTAGACAGGAGTTCTGCTGTGCAGGGCAGCTGTCGCTATGCTATTACTTTACTGGTGTCTCTCTCATTTATTACGAGCTGCCACCACCACTTCGACCAGTGCAACTTCAATCAGCCTGGTCTTAGAGGGAAGGCATCGCTGCAGGTTCCCAGTCAAAAGCTCATTAACGTTTGCACTTCCTTCATCATTATAACACACTCCACTAGTGGTTCTGCTAAATAGTCTCCATCAGGGACTTGTTCGTAACCCAGGATTACCGTCACAGGACCCACTGGGAGCTGCAGCCAGAGTATGGAAGGTCACATGGTAAAAAAGCTCATGATATTTTCCATGCAGTCATCATGACCTGAGACATTTCTGAATTGTTATTACAGGCTCTTTCCAAAGCCTTTGTGAAATGTTAGGGCGTCTCTATAACTAACTATAGCTGTTATAATCACCACTGATTGCTGCAATTGTTAAAGCTTACTCACTGAGAAACGTGATTAACATCAGAGCTGGTGATGTATTTCACAGCTCCAGCTCTGTACATTCTGGTGTCTCTCTCTCTCTCTGTCTGCACAGCTGACTCACTCAGCATTCATTTGATTAAAGATGAAACGTCACATTAGAGCAAAACAAACAGGTTCCTTTTCTTTCCTTTTTCCATCAAAAGACACTGTCTCTGTGCAGCCTGGTGACTGGCAGGAGGAGGGCACTGAAGTGGAGAACAACAGCCCTCTCCCCCACACTGACCACCCCCTCACACCCACCCCACCAGCTCACCTGCTCGTCCACTCTGTGGGCCACGACCGTAGCCGACTCCTCTTGCTCGGCAACACTGAGGGGTCGGATCCTCAACGCAACCTGTGTAAAGAGGAGGCAGCTTTATGTTGGGTTAGTGTAGAAATGAAACATGCAAATACAGTTTTCAGGTGGATTATTCCTCATGTATATATGGCCAAATTAATAACTAACGATATAACCAATATAACCTTCCCAACATGTTTAATAGAGAAACACTGTAATGTTGCACATCGGCTCTCTAAGGCTGACCTTCACATTTTACTTATATATGCCTATTTAAATTTTGAATTATTTTGCATACTAATTAAAATACCACATTGCATTCCGCTGCCAGTTGAATGTAATTTCTTGCTTATTAAAAAGAGCATAATATTAGCAGTAATGACCTTCTCCCACAAAGACTAATTTCAATTGGCCTGTAATTCTAAAAGGGTAAGGAACAATTTCATAGTGGACACCAAAAAGGACTTCAACAGACCAATGTTGCAAAAAACATTAATTGACATTTTTTCTAATTTGATTGATTATTTTAGATGTATAAAAACGAGTAATCATAAAGCAAGAAAAACTGTCTTTGTAACTGTGTCATTTGATGAAACGTTAATCTACTTTCTTGTATTAATCACACACACAGTGATTATTAATCTGCAGAGATTATTATGGGAGAACACTTTTATGATGTGCTGCACAGTACGATTTAGGAAATTAGGAAAGTGAGTTATTCCAACACTTTAGTCAAAGTTTAGATTTTGTGCGCGCAGAAAACAGTGAGGAACTGTGGGAAACTCACCGTGAGTTGGTGGTCCTTCGATTCCCCCGTGTCCTTCATGGTCACTTCGGTTCCAGTGAGGGACAAAGAGCTTCAATAGCAGGTGGGACATGGAAGAGACATCCTGCTGTCCACCTGCGGACCTCCTCCTCCTCCTCCTGCTCCTGCAGTCTCCAGATCACTGCAGCGGCACCAACATACGTTGTTTTTCTGTCTTTCTCCGGACGTGTCTGCTGACCAGCACGGTGAAGGCTGCACGGTGTTTGTGTCCTCCTCTGTCTGTGAAAGACTGAGTCCCAGCAGCAACAGTGTCCCGGCTCCGTCAACACGTTTCCTCCCGCAGTATGTTTCCGCTGAGAGCAATGATTCACCTGGAGACAGCAGCAGGCGGAAGAGAGAGAGAGGGTGAGAGGGGCGGGGGGAGTTAGAGAGAGTAAGGGAAGGGAAGGGAGGGAGGGAGGGAGAGAGAGATGTAACACAGCAACAGAGGACGCAACACAAGCTTCACCTACCGTCCGTCTGTCCGTCCGTCCGTCTGTCGAATCAGCTCGTCCACCATGTGTTGTCCCAGAAGACAAGCCCTCTAAAATATGTGTAATTTTTATATTATTATTACATTAAAAACAATAAACATCAGATATGCACAGTAGAACCATTGTCTACTTAAAGTGTGTTTTTTCTGTTTACATTTTGTAAATGTGAAATGTGTTACTTGTAACGGAGGAGACTGTTTAACTCTAGCGCTTTGCTGACATCTTCTGGACAGAATGAGTATTACATAACACGAATTGTCCTTGAGTGAAGAAGACAGGGACGAAAATGTTTGTTTTAACACGCCACAATTAATTTTAAAAAAGCCCGAGAAATATATACACAGACAAACATTAGGGACATTGGCTTATCTAAGCAAAATAAATATTTTGTCTCCATGTTAATAACAGACTAAGGTATTGTCTTACCCTGTCTTAACTAATTATCTTATGTTGACTCATCTCCAATTTAATGTAACTTACCTTTCTTTAAATGCCTCTTTTTTTCTAGGGAAATTTCTTATCTTGTCTTTCTGATCAAAATGAAACATGACTGAACCTAACTTAATCTGCCTTATATGTTATTTTTATCAAATGAAACATTGCATTCAGTTTACTAACTTAAATGTCCTACTATAAATATATAAATATATTCATAAAATAATTATTTAGGATTCATAATGAAATATATTCATAAAATAATTATTTAGGTTCAGTAAAAACCCATAAAAATGTACTGTAAAACACTTTTATTCAGCTTACAATGACAACAGAATTAGACAGTTGTCTTAGTGCCTATACAGTGTAACATGCCGAATTAAAAATCACACATGTGATTGATGCCACTGCACGTTTCATACCTGTACATAAAACCACTGTTAGTCATATCATCATATACTGCTGCATGTGTCGATGGTAAAGAAAAGACTCACTGACTACAGTTAGTGCAACATGGCATGAAGCAGAGATAACAGCCTAATGGCATTAGTCCAATTAGAAATACACAACAATAGGAATTAAAAAATACAAAAAAGTAGAGTGATCCACTGTGACATGCCAGAAAAAACTATAAAATATAAAAACAAATGGCACACCGTTTAGGGAAATCAAACAGTAGTAAGACAACAGTCTACTATAATACAATGACTTGTATTTACAGGTGGTGTGCACACACTAAGTTCATCCCAGTAACTGTGGAGATATAAAGCTTCACATTTTGCAGCCATGTCTGTGTATGAATGCAAATCAGTGATGTGAGAACAGAGCTTCCTCCTGTGTGCTGTCAGTGCAGGGGCTTTGTGCTTCACGCATCAAGAGAAAAACAATTTCATCTTCAGATCTTCCCATCTTCTTCTCTTGTTTATCCGTTCAGAATTCCTAGAATTGCTACTGTAATCTGTGATGAAGGGATAAAAACGGTCACCTGTTTCTCGGTGTCACGTGAAGACTTCAGGTCAGACGTGTTCCTCTTCCAGATGTAAAGACAAGGCTGATTTATACAGTTCATATTCTAAGGGGCAGAAGAGCAGGCACAGCTCTGTGACATAGACCCCGGGGGTGAAGGGTAAAGTGTGGGTCACACAGTGAATAGTATACATGTGGTTATGTTTTACAGACTAAACGTTACACTGTTCCTCAGTCACTGGGTGAGTGTGTGGATGTTGACGTCCTGTGGTGACAGATCAGAGAGTCTATCCCTGGAAGTTGTTTCCAAAGTGTCTACTCGGGTCCTCAGTCATAGACAGATAGGTGGCCCTCATAGTCGGGGAGTACTGTCAGTCAAAGACAAACACACAGAGAGACAGCAGAGATGAAAACTAAGAAGCTTTAAAAAACATTTTTTGTAAAATTGGAAATTTCAGGAAAATATCAGATGTTAAAAAAAAATTACTCATATTATGATTTCCATTTTTTGTTGTGGGGCAAATATTTTGATCCTGTTCCATATGGTATATTTTTTCCAAACACATTTTAGACAGGCTATTTTTTAAAGAATTAATTTTATACACAACTTGCTATAATTTAGATTTGGATTCAGATTTTACACCTGTATATACATCATATACACATACACCATGTGGCAGTACACGCCTTGTGAATAGTGCAGGACTGCATACACAGAAACTGACTGTGAGGAAAAGATCCAGGACTACACTCTAACTACAGTCAGAGTCTGTGGACACGAGTGAGAGACACCCCTAACTAATTCACAAAGACTGTCTGGAATGAGGACGTCATAGGTTGTGGGTTTACAGCCATGCCAACAGGGAAAGCAGGCAGGAACCAAACAAAGAACTGTGGGGTGAAAGACAGGTGAGAGAATTAGGATGTAACAGAGGAGGAGTGGAGGAGAGGGCGGGCTCTGTGGTGAGGTAGAGATCAAAAGACTTACTCTGTTTCTATACTGCTGAGAGTATACCTTCACACAGAGGAAATATAGAAATGACAAACACAAACAACACATGACAAACAAAAAAAAAAGTATATAAAAAGAAGCTGTTAGCCAGAGCAACCGCAGGATGCACAGCCGCGTTTATGAAGAAGAAGACATGCACATTATTTGCTGGTAGTAATTTGTTATCAGGATTTAAACATAACATTCCTGACTGTGGTGAAAAAAACACTTGAGGTTATCATGAAACAACAAAAACAAATATAAACATATAAACTGAGAAGTGAAACCAGCAGGAGAGGTAGAAATACATGAAGCTAAATGAGTTACAAAACCCCTTTTCTTTGCAGATGACATGCTTCAGGACCACACACGTGTGTTACCGTCCAGGCACATCTTACTGCACAGTTTCATCACACACAGCTCCTGCACATGTGCTTGCTGAAACATTAATGTGTACTGTTTCTATTTGTGTGTAATGTAATTTGACAGGAGTCTAGTTGGGCAGCGGTGACAGAGGCTGACGCTGACACAGTGGGTATGTTCAGTGGTAAAGACCTGTTTAAGTTTCTCCACAGAGAATAGGTCTGAGAAAAGGGTTAAATGATGCTCACTTCAAGATTAAATATTAACCGGTGTTAGGCAGTATAGAGGGCGAGAAGAACAACTGTTGGTATTTAGTCAAAGCAAGGCCATTTCATATGTTCAAGAAACGGCAAACAACGGAAGAAAGACTGGAAAGATGCTAATCTCTGTTAGCTGAGTGCTGACTTAGCCTCTGGGACCCAACGCACCGAAGGAGGTGGAGATCCTCGTCCTATCAGTGGGACATTTTCATACCGGGGATTTCCACCAAACAGTGCAGTCTGGTTCCTTAAAGTGAACAAAAAAAAAACAAACAAACAAAAAAAAGAGAAAAGAAATCAGAGAAAGTTCAACGTCACTGAGTCTCTTCACACATGGTTTTTCCCCCACTTACATGTACTCGGACATGGGGGCGTTGGAGACGGCAGGGGCCGGCGGGTGCAGGCTGTTCTGGCTGCCCATGCTGCTGCTGTAGCTGCAGAAGCTGTGCATGTTGTTGAGGTTGGGGTTCTGAGAGCCCGTCCTCCTCACCCGTGGGTTGAACGGGTCCTCGTCGTCGATGTCGTCGTAATCCTGTTCCCTAAACATCAGGAGAGGAGAAATGACAGGAGAACAGGTGAACCCCGCAGCACACTGTACTGTAGTATAGTAAGGATGTGTTAAATTATAACTAGTGTTTTAATGTTTGGATGGAACACATTTGTATATTAGCAACACATCAACAAGAAAAGAACAAGGCCAGGAAGTCATTATATTTGACTAAAAACAGAGGGAACATCAGTCTTTTGTCTAATGTTATGTGAAATACTAACACATGTGCATAATGAGTTTGTTGTGTGGTGCAGTACAAAGTGAGCAGGAAGAAGAAACGAGGGCAGCCACAGGACAGCACACAGAACACACTGACCTGGAGGCTATTTGTCTCCACGCCCGGGGAATAGCGCACAGCATGACAGTGAAGGCACAGGCTGAGAGGATGGAGAAGAGGCAGAGGTAAAGAACACCCTCCACCCCGTCGTAGCAAACGCCCACCATGGCATCCAGATAGTCCTGTAGAGGTCACACCAAGAGAGAACATCACACCAACAGTTTGCTCGTGTGTAGACGGTCTAGCTGCTACAGTGGAATTCAACGGTACAGTAGCACTTTAATGCTTTGGCCTAGTGTATGTCACATGCCTGAAGCAATGTACATCACACATGTACATTATTCACACGCACTGTAAGCAACCATGTGTGTTCAATGGTGCAGAGAATTCACAGATGAAGACGCTGATCAGCCCTGGGTGCATACAGTCTTTACGTGTGTGTGTATGTGTGTAAGTACATTTGCTTGTGTCAACTATGTGTATATGCATGTGTATGAGTGTGAGTGTGTATACATAATTTATGTATGTGAATATATGTGTTGAAATTAACAAGTAAATCGTCCCTATAAACGTTGCTATCCTGGCTGGTCTATACATTTTCACCATGACGATTATACACTTTGATAAATAAATAAATAAATATATATATATATATAAAATATGTGTGTGTGAACTGTATTTACCATTTTAAATTATTATTAAATGTTTGGTTTATGTCCTCAGCTTCTCTCATGTCACTCTAGTGACCCCTGGTGATTAATAAAGTGAAATACTCTTCACAGTTCTAAGTTCTCTTAGGCTAACATCCAGCGTGGCTGCTTTTCTTGCGTTGACCTAGTTGTGTTACTGAGCAGCCATTCTGGCTACAGTACACTGACCTTATTGAGCCCTCTGCAGTCCAGCAGAGCAGTCAGCTGGTGCAGGCCCACCTCTGAGGAGTTCAGTAAATGCTGGATACCGACAAGATCTCTCTGTGGAGAGGACACCATAATCAGAGAGACATTTCTATGGCGCTTAAAGACGAGCATCCATCTGCACCATTGATTAATGACTCAGTAAAATATTAATTTACCTCAGCTGTGGGGAACAGAGGAACAGCAAACTGCAGCAGACTCTGGACCTGGATCTGCATGGTGGTCATGGATCTCTGGAAGATGGTCAGTGGCTGTGGACAATCATAAAGTCAATACAACATTCAAGAATTCTGCTCTATTCCTGAAATTCTACAAATTGACGCATTTTCTTATGGTGGTTGTAATATTGCTGGTTGTGATATGGCCATTGTTGTAGTATTGTAGGTGCGATTGCAAACCACCAGGGGGCAAGGTCCACTCTGATTTAACCTGGTTATTTTAACTGAAGCACTAAAGCTCAGTTTCCGCCTTGTGCCTTTTTAAAAATGAACAATCACCAGGACCTGTGAACAAGTTCAACTTTCACCTCAATTTGTGTCTCGACGGTTCCATAATCTAACAAGCTGCAGGCTAAAAGGAAAACAGGATGTGGTCAACGACCTCAGCTCTATATCTGCTTCTCTGTACAAGGTCAAAGGGCAGGAAGTTCTAACGGCCTAATGTGATATGACTTTTTTTAGGAAGCTTGTTGGAAACTATAGAAGGGTTGAATATAAAATAAGATGAGGATAACAGCAGCAGAGTTAAGGCTGCAGTGATGTGTACAGGACCAGAGAAGGAAGTACTTTTGTTATTTTATTAGAGTAACTAAAATAAGGCACAACTCAGAGAGACGGCTGCATGTTGCCGGAAAAGACAACAAATGAACAAACAAAGGAAAACCAGATCCGTCTTCAGCTTCATTTAATATGAAAAACTATTTTATTTAGGTTAAAAATGTGTTGAATTTTCAGACGTTCAGGTACAGAACCTGTGATGTTTTAATGGACCTCACGACCCGTTTTACATTTAAATGAGAGGATACATTTAAATGCCAGGCTGTACCTTTGGGACTGAACCTGAATTTATTCTGAATAATAACTACAATGTGTGAGCAGCACTGAATGTTATGGCTGATGGAGAATTCCACACCCAGAAGAATTTGTTGTCTGCTATTTGTACAAAAAAATGAGAAATTCATACCTGCTTCACAGATTGTTGGGACAACATGCAATTTGACCACTTGGTCGGAGTTTTGGTAGAAGAAATTATGGTTTTGTGCTCTACGAAATTACAATATTTTGACATTTGGGATAAAAAAAAAATCATGTTAAAGCTCTGCAGTTTTTTTACCCCATTCTTTTCCTGTAAAGACCTGAAAAGATCAACAATCCAAGACTACAGTTGTCTGATTATCATCCCTATGATTCATCAGACATTAGTAATCGAAGACAGATTGGGATTGCATCAGGGGCAAGTCAAGCAGCTGAACTCTTCTACAAAACAATGCCTTGGAAATCCACTAATGGACTATAATATGATCACAGATACTTTTGGCAACAACTGAGAATTGATGATCATTTTAGATAAAAAAATATAGATTGTTGTTTGTGTTGTTTCCTTCTCTGTCCTTGCTCTCTGGAAGCAAACCTGAGGATATTGTTAATTTTGAATGAAGCCTGAGTGCAGTGTTGAGCCCATGTGGTTTTGTCTATTACGGAGGCATGGTGGTTTTTAATGCATGTCCTCGGGGGCTGTAAGGTCAAATACATTCACCTCACTCCATGTCCGTAGATGGTAACAGGCCAAAGAAAACTAAGACTGGTGAATATGTTACAGCTTTCACACACGCACATGTTCACTTGCTTTTTAAGAAACCTATGAAAAAAGTTTCCTAATTACAGATTTAACTGGGCTTGCATTTATAGTGTTATGAATATTTTTAACATAAAAGGTAAAAAATCTACACCACTGTGTAGTAATACAATACATTTGTACTTGTACAATACACTGGCACATAGTGAGCCACAAAATCAATCCTAACAATGTTGTGTCACATCACATTCAGTGTTGATTCATCCTATTGTGTGACACATTTCTTACCTGCTGGAAAGGGTTGGAGAGAGTCTGGTTGCAGTAAAGGTAGTAATGGACAATATCTGTGGAACACACACAGACACACTGAGGAAAAGACTTTTCAGAAACTGTTTTTTTTTTGTAACCCAATAATCATATTTGTATGACCCATATTTAAACTATTAATGCAACGTTTTGTTTTTCATTTGTTGGAACACATGCTCACCAGCACTGACGATGCTTTTTGTCTGGCTCATGAGGTACTTGTCAGGGGACACACAGAAATCACTGGTACCCTGAAACAAGACAGGAGACTGTGATACTATCCCTCTCTCTTGATGTGATACAAGAGAGAGGGATAGATCTTAAATTAAAAAAAAAGAAGAAATGAAAGTGGAAAAAGTGGAAGCAGGCATCAGGGTATTAATAATAGACAAGCACCTCTACGATTCCCTCTGAGTGAGGTGTGTGACGATGGTGACTCTCATCTTTATCTCTTAAAAAACCCTCAGTGTTCTCTCTCCAACCACTGCTTGTCCACTGCACAGTGCTGAGGAGAAACTTCAGCAAACTGTGCTGTCCGAATGTCAAATGTCCCCTGGGCTGAGGACAAACACACACCAACTGACTCTACTTTCTGAGGCAGGGCGTGTGAATGAGCGTTAACTCTCAGTTGAGTAAAGAGCAGGTTTGATTTTTCTCAGACAAACAGTTTTCACTGGCACAACAGCCCTGGTGCCCTGCTGTCTTTAATTAGCAGTTGTAAAAACGTGGGCATTCATTAAACCCCAGCTTCTGCTCACGGAGGCACTTATTAGCTGGCAAACGTTTCAAATTCCCATGCACGCACGCAAACAACTGCAGTGTTTAGATGTTCTCCAAACCCAGACCCATTTACGGTGAGAGAGCGGTGTAGCTGCTGCACTTCTGTGTACTGACGGTTTAAGCTGAGGAAGCATTTTTGGATGATTCTCCAACATGTGCAGGTGGGTTAGCCTGCAACACAGCTGCTGTGATCTTCTACCGCTCACACTCTGTACAGTGTGTTCTACGCAGCCCGTTGGTGTGGAGAGCAGCCTACGGCTGTAAAGGAACGTTTACTTTGGCTGTATTTTGGCAACTGGTCTGCCCCCTCTGTAGAGAAACAGATTAAAAAAATTGCAGGATGTCTGGTGTTTGATTTATGAGTGTGTCTCAATGGGATTAAAAATGACTGTAAGATCAAACCAAAGTATGAGCTAAAACTAAGCACTTTTGAAATCCATTTAAACTGCCCCATTTGGTTTGTGCACACTGGCCTACCATGTGTACTGGGTTAAAGTGACTTCATTAGGCCACTGAACGTAAAATGACTTTCCACTAATTAATAGTAGTGTAGTACTGAAAAATTCTAATTTATGTAAAACATATTTCCGATCCAGCATAATTCACACAGTTATCCAATGAATAAAACAGCACTTTAAAGGACCAGCCCCAGTGTTTTCATAGGAACTCCCTATTGATGTGAGTCTATAGAGCTTCACAACAGAACAAACCTTTGACTGATTTTACATTTATTTCTTCCAGTCGACATTTAATGTTGAGGACATTTTTATTTATTTATTTTTTAACTGTTTCTTTTAATACCTTTCTGTAGGTTGTTACTTTGTGGACTTCTGACATTTGTTTGCATGTGACATGTAAGTAATAAAAGATCAAATGTCTCTGATCAAATTTACATTGTGTTTGATCTAATAATGCTGGAAACCAAAAGCCATGAGTGACTATCCTTTCAAATGTGCAGCCAAACACCTACACTTGGCATCTAATGGCTGTATATGCAATATATTTGTTCCCCACAGGAGAGGAAATGGGCTTTTTATGTTGCACTTCTCTAACTACTTTTTTTTTTAGCCTCCATCCATTCACACAAATGCTCATGTAACACATTCATACTGAACATTATTCACGCATGATCACCGCGGTGCAGCCAAGAAGAGTGGGTGTTGGAGACGGCGCTCCATTGGGCGTTTATGACTGTCCGTCCTCTGACGTGATCTTCTCCACACGCAGCAGCCTGATGTTAGTGTTTATTATCTCTATGTCAGCGCTCCGAACGCTCCGCGTGCTAACACGCTTGTGTCAAATAAGACATTCAACCAGCAGATGTATGGTGAGAGTGAGAACCACTTGAGACTAACGCACTGCAACAGATTACACCTCCTGCTGATTTTCTACCCTGCGTCATTATCTGTAACATAAATTCACACATGTTAACACTTCTCTGAAGCCCTGAGTCACAACACAGCATTCAGAGAAAAACAGCACACATGCCTGAAGCCAGTCAGTCAGTCAAGCAGCAGCAGCAGCAGCAGCAGCAGCAACAGCAGCAACAGCCACCAACCTCCGGGCTGCAGCCACTT